TTCTTCGTAACACTACTCTATTCGGCAGACCCGCACTACGGCTTGCGCATACATCGAGTGGGTCGATACAGAAAATCCCGTTCTCGACCTAACCACTTGTTTACAAGGTCGCTGGTATTTCGCATCCGAAAGTACTGAGCAATACTTACAGAGAAAAGCGGCTTATGAACGACAATGTCGTGAACAGAGCGACTGGCGGGTGCTAACTACGGCACTCCCTCTATGGGAAGCCCGTCCAAGATGCAGGTGTGGTGATCGTTGTCAGGTTCTTCGTTCCATAAATCCTACAACATTGGGTCGAAGGTTCTTTGTTTATCCAAATATTCTTGACGACGATTTCATGGTAAGAATATTTTGATTACATGAATCCTTATTTTCTCACAACATTTACTAACTTTGCTTGCTTTACATCTATTCTTTCCTCCCAGGAACCACCAAGGAGATGTCAATACAGAGAATGGATAGACACCAGAAGGGTTCTAACTCCACCTAGCCGTGTTGTGCAGCTTGAACTACCAGAGCAATACAGGGTTACTAAAGCGCGGTTTGAGAGAGGAGAGGGATCCTCACGTAGGGGTTAGCTATTATCGGACAACTTGGCATATTGAAATTTCTACTGTCATGCTTCCTTGTCCCATTACTACATCGTCGTTGTGTTCAACTATTGCACTACCTCCCTCCTAGTTCGAATCTAATATCATCTATGTAACCGCAATGCAAATAGTTGTATCATGTTCAAATTGTACTACTATTTCTTCATGTTACATAATTCTCCTTGTTTAAGTCCATATAATGTTTCTACGACCCAGACTGCGATAGGCCTATATAAATTATCCGAGTACTAATACGTCGAATAAGGTACAAAATAATACCTCACTTAACATATGAAATTGCGCAACAACCAACTTCAATACATTTTTATAACAATATTAACAAGTTTTACCAATAAATACTTCTTTATTTATTATTAACATAACATAGAAAAATCTTTTGGCCGTACTTTTTTCATTTGGGTCCCTTGCCGCCCTTTATTGGGGCGGCAAGGGACCCAGATGAAAAAGTACGGCCGCAAGCTCTTTATGGGCGGCCAAAATTACAATTAGCCCCTTGCCGGGCCTAATCGCAATTTTGGCCGACGGCGGCAGACGGCGCGGTCGACCCACCGTCTGCTACGTCAGCTTGCCGCCCACCATTAGAGCGGCAGGGGCTATTTCTGCTATTTTTTTTGGTCGATAGATTATTTCTGTAAATATTAAAAAAAAATCTAAAAACCAAAAAAACTCCCTCCCCCAAGGCGCCATTGTAGATCTCGCAGGTTCGCAGCGCACAGCAGCCTGTTACTGTATGTTAGCTTGCAATGCCGCCCGAAGAATCGTTGAATGGTTCCCTACTCCGCGTACGCCGTACACGAACGCGAGATTGCCGCCGCGCGCGTCGTGACGTCTCCACGCTTAGCACCGGGCCACAGGTCATCCCGTCTGGCCGTTCCCCACCCAGCGCTCCAGCCGCTCCATTCCACCTGCTGGCGGTCTGCTGCCACATCCGCGCCGCGCGCCTTGCCGTCGGTCGCCGCGGCGCGACCGCGCGAGTGCAACTGCAACCTGCCCTGATGGAGGGCTTGACGCTAATGCCTGACGAAGTGACGAACTGACACGGTCAATTCACCAATCAATCATTTGTTTGATCTACAGTACTGCATCTGCATGAAAGAGGAGGTGATGAGCAGCAGCCAGCTAGCAACAGCACCAAGTTCGTGTTTTGCCAGATGAATTGCCATGATATTTGTTGCTATCTGCTGATCTGCACCTTGGCTAGGTTAATAGGTTTCCTTCTGATGTTAGTTGTTTAGAGTTCAGAGGTCGAACTTGGACAGTTGGACAATGAAGTTGCGTTAATCTGTAGTGCCGCTGACTCACTTCTTGTGCACACCCAGCTACTCGTGATTAACTAACTGGTAAGATTTTAGATTTGGATTTATAATTTATATGAGTTAAACCACTATTAATAATGTTATTTTCTCAATTATCAGGGCATGTCGCCATCTGGAGAATTTTTGAAGGTAATATATATGAAGTTTTTTTTACTTTAAGATACAATTTTAAGCGTATATATAACTATGACGTATGATTGCTATTTTGATAGTATATCAAGGGCCCCTATATTTAGTATTGCATTATGCCCCTGAAAACTCAGGATTAGCCCTGCATACATATGAAAACATTTACCTCCACGTGCATTGATCTCTAACCTAAATATTCCGCGTGATATCTTTAATTATCTAGACCTCAACTTCTTTCAAACCTATTATTGGGCCCTGTTTGGATCCGGAGGGCTATTAAATAGCCCTCTGGAATCTTGCTATTTAGGAGTATTAAACGTAGATTACTGACAAAACCCATTCCATTACCCCTAGGCTATTTTGCGAGACGAATCTAACAAGGTATGTTAAGTCCATGATTTTGCTACAGTGATGCTACAGTAATCAGCTGCTAATCATGGATTAATATATATCATTAGATTCGTCTCGCAAAATAGCCTAGGGGTTATGGAATCGGTTTTGTCGGTAATCTACGTTTAATAGTCCTAAATAGCAAGATTCCGTAGGGCTATTTAATAGCTCGGAGGATCCAAACAAGGCCTTGATCTATCACCAGCTATACTCCCTGTCTAAAAAGATATTTTTTAAGGATTAAATGGATAAACAATCGTTTAAATTTATCCTTAAAAGTTAGTCTTTTTAACCAATGCATGCAAAAGTAATATGATTGCACTGTGTCTAACCCTCTGCTTGAAGGTTACACCAACGACAGGTTTGCAGTGGATGTCCATAATTCTAGGGAAAATACGCATAATGCATCTGCCTTCCTGCTCTGGACTTCAACATAGGACCATTTCTGTAATCTGTTAGGAGTTCAATCCGTCCACTCTTGGCCAACTTGATGGCATTAGTATCGTGTATGTAGAACATAAGCAGGATATGTTGGTTATCTAGTATTGTCGCAACAACGCCGAATACTTGTAGTATTAGTAGATCAATTATTAAAGCTAGGAATGTGAACATGTGATGAATTTTCCTTCCTCTCCGTACTCATAAAAGTCGTTTAGGACAGCGACACAGTCTCTAAAATACAACTTTAATTTCTTGTTTTTATAAAAATATTATTAAAACATGATATATGTATACTTTTATGAAAGTATTTTTCAAGCCAAATCTATTCATATAATTTTTAAATTTTTAAATTTTCAAAGTTATTGAGAGTTATTTATTATTTATATTTCTAAGATTTGAGTTAAACATTGTATTAAACGATTTTAGTACGGAGGGAGTATATACTGTTGTACTCAGCACGAACATCTTGCCATTAATTTCTCCATTATTTTTACACGGTCCAGCCCATGTGTAGACTGTGTAGTAGTACCTGTATGCGGACAGCTTAGGCTACAGCTAGACCTCAAATTAGTCCAACATACTGTTCGATAAAAAAAATAAAAATAAAAATAAAGTTGAATGATGAAGCTACAGACCACAACCATCGGTAGTGTAATAAAGGCTCCGTTCTTTCCACGTTTATCGTAATGTTAAATGATATATATTTTTTAAAAAAAATTATATAGAAGTTGTTTAAAAAACTCAAGTAAATCTATTTTTTAAATTTATAATAAGTTAATACTTAATTAACCAATGGACTTTTTCGTTTCGCGTGCACTGGAAATATTTCTCCCTAAGCATGCAACGAAAGAAGCCTAAGACGCTGTATAGATGGGACTAAAACTTTTAAAGTCCCTATCACATCGGATGTTTCGATACTAATTATAAATATTAAACGTAGACTATTAATAAAATCCATCCATAATCTTGGACTAATTCGCGAGACGAATCTATTGAGCCTAATTAATCTATGATTAGCCTATGTGATGCTACAGTAAACATTCTCTAATTATGGATTAATTAGGCTTAAAAAATTTGTCTCGTGAATTAGCTTTCATTCATATAATTAGTTTTGTAAGTAGTCTAGATTTAATACTCTAAATTAGTGTCTAAATGTAGGGACTAAAATTAAGTCCCTGGATCCAAACACTACCTAAGTCTGAGCTTAATGTAAACGTTACTTACTCCGTTTTATATTATAAGTCAAACTTATTAAAAACTTTGATCAAATTTATACAAAAAATGTAACAACATTTATAGTACTAAATTAGTTTTATTAATCTAACATTGAATGTATTTTAAAAGGTTTTTTATGTTGAAAATATTGTTATATTTTTATATAAACTTGATCAACGTCAAATAATTTTGACTTAAAAAAAGGTCAAAACGATTTACAATATGAAACAAACAGATGTAGTACTAAAAATATAAGTATTAATCATACAACCATATAATATATCTTGGGAAATACTATAACGCTAGCATCTTTAGGTAACCTGAAACTCCTTTTCTTTTACTCCATTTGGCTTATTTTAAGTATAGTTGTCGGTTTTCGTATCCTATGTTTGACCGCTCGATCTATTTAAAAAGTTTATAAAAAAATTAAAAAAGTAAGTCACACATAAAGTATTATATATGTTTTATCATCTAATAACAATTAAAATGCTAACTATAAAAAAATTAAATAAAACATGTGTTGAACATGAAAATCCACAACTGCTCTTATAATGGAACGGAAGGAAAGGAGTACTAAATTCTTAAAAATCATAGATTAAAATGCTGCAAAACAGGGAGTTGTCACATGCTTGTCCAACCGGGTGGATATAGTAAACGCCACTATTCCTGTATTTCATACACATATATATATGGTATACACTTAACTTTTATTATATCTATCGATGATGAGGACGTGACAACCTACGTGAAAAAGCTCCCCCATCGCTGGTAGCGAAAGCGCAACCGTACTATAGCCAAGAATACAGCACGAGGCGAATAACCCGGAGCGAAAAACACGAATCGCAAAGCAAGATATCATCATCCCCTCGGCTTGTTTATTATTCCTCCATCTCGCGTTTGCTCCTCCATTTCCCCCACCTTTTCCGCGTCCCCTTCTTCTCCTCCTCTCTCTCTCTCCGACACGCCCCTTTAACTCGCTCCCGATTCCAAAAAATTCCGCCATAGATTAAAGCGAGAAACCCCAAGCAACCACCACCACCACGACCCGGAGTCCTCCCGGATCGATCAGTCCAACCCTGCGAATCAAATCCCAAGCCTTCTCGACGCTGGCCTCGATCGATTGGGAGGCCGCGTCTGCGTCCCCTTCTCTTTCCGGAGGAAGCTGGTGGCTTGCTGTGCGGCGGTGGCATCGTCGGTTGGAGGCGCGGGGGAGCACTCGTCGCGTCCCGGGGGAGATCGAATCTAGCGGCGGACGGGCAATGCGGTTGGTTTCCGGGGTGATTTGAGGCGGGAGGCTGGGATCTGGGTCTGGAAGGGAGGTGGGGAGCTCTGTCGGTGGGGTGGGGGGTGGGGGGAGTTGGTGGCGAGTCGACCGCGTGCTCGGGTTTGTGAGTGAGTATGGAGCGCGTTATTGGGGGCAAGTTTAAGCTCGGGAAGAAGATCGGGAGTGGATCCTTCGGGGAGCTCTATCTCGGTACGTTTGGCGATGTAGTGATGCTGTGTTTATGTTTTGGAGTAAATGATTGGGTGTTTGTCTGCGCAATTCCATGTTGCTGTTTTTGATGTCCAAAAGCTCCATTTCACATGTTCATGACGGAATTGTTTGATTTGTTTGCAGCCGTGAACATACAGAATAGCGAAGAGGTGGCCGTCAAACTGGTATGTGATGTGCAGTTCAATACTAGCATGTTGACGCGTTTTTAGCGCCTGTTTGTATCAGTCTGGATGACATGATTGGAGTTAGCTCACCTGTCTAATTTCAGACTTGCAGTGCTATATTGTGTCATGACAGTCAATTCTGCATTTGCCAGATAGCATTAGGGATGCAAGACAGCTTGCTGACCTATCTTGTGTTGTGTGTTGAACTTTTTATTAGGAGTCTGTGAAATCAAGGCATCCTCAGCTACACTATGAATCAAAACTATATATGCTTTTGCAAGGAGGAAGTAAGTATAAGTGTATAACGATAGAAGAAGTTGGTTAGTTCATTCATTCAGGCATTTTACTGATTTTATTTTTTTCCCAATGTTTAGCTGGGATTCCACATCTTAAGTGGTTTGGGGTTGAGGGGGAGTACAATGTAATGGTGATCGATCTTCTTGGCCCAAGTCTTGAGGACCTATTTAACTACTGCAACAGAAAGCTCTCTCTTAAATCAGTGCTTATGCTTGCTGATCAGATGGTGAGTCTGCCTTGTTATGCTATCATCTGTGTGTTCATTTTGATCATTATGCAATCACATGCCAAAGGACATAATATAGAGCCAAAAAGGAAATGATTTCTTCATTCTGCATGTGGTTAGTTTTTTCAATCAAATGTAACATGCCCTCCTTGCATTTTATACAGATTGCTAGAGTAGAGTACATGCACACGAGAGGATTCCTTCATCGTGATATTAAGCCAGACAATTTCCTTATGGGTTTGGGTCGTAAAGCAAATCAGGTTTGTATAATCTTGTTGTTACTATTACTATTGTTATTACTATTATCCAGCTCCAGCAGAAGGATGTACATGCTATATGGATGTGCGGGACATTCATGACATTCACCCCACGCTTGAGATTTTGTGCAAGTGCTACCTATAAAACACTCCTACTCCTAGAAGCATTCATGTTCTGAACAGTAATTGTTGTATAACCTTGTAGTTATTTCAACTGCTTTATAGGTAGTACAGTATAGTTCTTTTGAAGAGATTAATTGTTACATACTTACATTTCTGATGTATCGTTGCAATTGGTTTGCACCATTAGATGAATATGTCTGTCCATTTGTTTTGGCAGTTTAGTGCTGAATGCAATACATATTCAGTTTGCTCACAAAGATAGCATCTAATCACAGGAAAGCACTCTCCATCACAGGTTTATGTCATCGATTATGGGCTTGCGAAAAAGTACCGAGATCTCCAAACACATAAGCACATACCTTATAGGTAAAATACAATCTGTTCTTATACTAGTTAAATGCTTGTGCTTTGCTATGAATAATGTGAATTATATGCATGCACTCGTCCCTGTAGATAAACTTGATTTTAGGGATGAAATAGCTAGCGACCTGTGACAGTTTTTCTGGAGGTCAGGGTAGAAGACCCGCCTCTTGCCAGAGAGCTGTTTGACCACGAATCTTTATTAGTGAATACTAATGAGTGATGTTAACTACTGAAAATACTATTCGAAGGATCAGCGAGAATTTATGTTTGATTCATTTTGACAAAAAGAAAAACACTCCTACTGTTTTGTGAGTTGTCGTTGAGTGTTGACTTGTTTCCATTTCCACTTATGGTCATTTCTTAGTTTCTTACTCTGTGGTTCTGCATTTGAAAGCTAAATCTCTTTTCTCTGTACTGCTACAGGGAAAACAAAAATCTAACTGGAACTGCACGATATGCTAGTGTTAATACACATCTTGGAGTTGGTGAGTTTATGGCCTGCAAATACGTGTATTATATATCTATTGCTGTATCATCATCATGTGAAAAAAATAAATAATAGAAGCCAAGGGGAATAGTAAGGAAGAAAGACAAACCAGTGTTTACTGAATATGTTTAAAGTATGCCAACACTAGTAGTCTTCAAAAGCTAAAAAAGTACCACTTTACAGCCAATCAATCTATTGAACCCTATATTCAATTATTCATCCATGAATCTGAAAACCTTAACGGAAAAATTATGGTTAAAGATTGATGGATCATGGATGATACTTCCCCTGACTTGACCTCTTTCCTTTTCTTCTTCCAGAACAAAGCAGGAGAGATGATTTGGAATCTCTCGGTTATGTACTGATGTACTTCTTAAGAGGAAGGTGCGATATATAATTATACTCCACTAAATTTTCAAGTAACAGTTAAATTATTATTTTCTTGGGCACCTTTACATATTCTTTTACCATCTTGGATGTGTCAGTCTTCCTTGGCAAGGTCTGAAAGCTGGTACAAAGAAGCAAAAGTATGATAGAATCAGTGAAAAGAAGATGCTGACCCCAGTTGAGGTACTTTGTTTCTTAGATCAAGGGACAATGCAATAAAGAAGTCCCATTACTTTTTTTTCCCCAAAATGTAGAATGAATTGTTTATCAGATTTTCTTCACTACTTCAAACAGGTCCTCTGTAAATCTTATCCATCAGAATTTGTTTCATACTTCCATTATTGCCGATCACTACGGTTTGAAGATAAGCCAGACTATTCCTATTTGAAGAAGCTCTTCCGAGACTTATTTATCCGTGAAGGTCTGCTTATTGCCGCATAATTATATAACTGCTAGTTCCTTATGTCTGTACTTTTGACATAACTTCTGCATGCTTTCAGGGTACCAACTTGATTATGTATTTGACTGGACCATGTTGAAGTATCCTCAAATTAGAGATAACAAACTACGAGTATGTATATTATTTATTTTACGCAAACCCTTTATAAGCGATGCATTTCCTAGCATGCATAACTTTTGTTTCTCACTATCAGCCTAGTGGGAAGACAAGTGGGTTGGTGGGTCGTTCTGCAGAACGGACTGAAAGAACTACAGGTTTGTAAATTTCATGTGCATTTGAGGATTGCAATAAGCTTGGGAATACATTGTGCTCCCTACGTGGTACAGGACACCCCTGATAGGTTCTCTGGTGCAGGTGAAGCTCTTGCTAGAAGAACTGGCTCTGGTTCTGGCCGAAATGGAGAACCCACTAAGCACAGAACTCTACTGGACTCACTGATGTCATCTAAGGCTGTAAGGAGTCGATGCATTATTCTGAAACTACAATCAATTCCTTCAGTGATAACAAAAGAGCTTACTATCCTGTAATGCGTTCTGCAGACCGCTGATACAGATAAAACAAGGCCGACATCACTGTCGCGGAACGGGAGCACGTCAAGACGGGCTGTTGTTTCGTCGAGCAAACCGAATTGTGGAGATCCCAGTGACACCAATCGCACAAGCCGCCTATTCTCAAGTAGCAGCAGCCGGCCATCCGCTGCCCAAAGGGCGCTTCAGTCGGCCGGAGCTGAGCTGAGGTCCTCGTCGTTGTCCAAGACGCGTAAGAGCTCACGTGATGATCCCACCATACGGAGCTTCGAGATGCTCTCACTCAGCGCTGACAGGAGGAAATAAGGAACGGATGTATTGATGTTACTGGCAAGAGACTATTATTTGGGGTGCAGTGTTATGAGCTGCCGCTCCACTATTGGTACGTTGAAATGCAATCATAATGAACAGATGTGTCGAAACAATATTTCGGCAATACTAAAAGGGGTGGGAAAAAGGGGTGGGAAAAGTGGATGGTTTTAGAGACAAGGAATTTTATACAGGTTCAGGCCTTCTTAATCAAGAAGTAATACCCTACTCCTGTTCGGGGATTGATCCGCCGAATGTATTATTGATCGTATGATCTGGGAGAAAAATCGTGCCCCTAGAGGCACCCAGACCCCTCCTTATATAGGGGAAGGGGTCCGTATTACAAAATACAGTCCATATCCCTAATGGAATATGTAGCTACAGATAAAATACAATCGTAACCAACTAGGATCTCGGATATTTCCTTGACATACAAGTTTAGAATTTAACCCGAGTCCTCTTAAAGATATTCTATCTATGCATGGCACCCCATACCCAATCAGGCTATACATGCCGTGTAGGTATGTGGTATCCATAATCTTCATAGTAGCCCTTAGACCTTTACAGTCGACGAAATAGCCTCCTCTCAGATCGTAAAGTGATAATCTGAGTGCTTCAATTTCTTCTGTATCGATCTCTCGAGTACCAAAATCAAAGACTGTGAAGGTCTAAAAATAGAAAAAACCGAGTGCATCGATTAGATGCACCTAATTAGGTGTAGCCCCCGACTATGTAATTAGTTAAAAAACTAAACATATAGTCAAGATGCTAACTACATCCAACCGAGTGGTTTGACAACCGAATATCATATAGCAAAGCATATGCGGCGTTCAATAAAACATCCAGCCGACTGCTTTTAGCTTTAATATACCAAAAATGGAGATATGAAAAGGCCTGAGTGAAAAACACTCTAAAGATCCATAAATTCACACATTTGATAAGAATCCGAGTAAAAACTCTCAAAAAGATCCATCAAACGTGATATAAATGTGATAACATAACAAGTGATGAGTCTAAATTGCTTATGCTATGACTCACACCAGAAAAATAAGCATATAACATGCCGAGTGAATGACTGTATTAAAACGAGTCATCTCAATAAAACCCAAACAGCCTTTGCAGCCTAATAAGACCGACAAAATTAGTATAACACCTTTTTGTCGAGTACCTTTTTATTTGCATCGTAGTAATTCCAAGGAATCATCTAACTGCGTCAAAAAGGATTTTAACAACATTGGACCATACTGTTGTGAGCAAAAATTGCCAAAGCAAAAATGCCTAAGTCCCTAAGGATCACAACTAGCCACGCTGGTAATAGAATTGGGTTGAAGTACTGTATAGGCCCAGGCCCATTAGCACTCCTGAAACCCTAGCGAAATAAATGCCGAAGTCAGAGCATCGTTTCGTCTTCCCCGCCGAAACTCTCGCCACTTTCCCCATTCTCTGCTACAGTGCAAAACCACACCGGCGGAAGCTAGGGTTAACAAATCCACTCCGATCCATCCTCCTGAGCTCCACAAAAACCTTCCGCGCAACCACCACAACGATTCCCCCTCCATTTCCAGCCATATCTCGGACCAAATCATACCATCCAGTTCGCATCCATGGCGGAAGAGAGAGAAAGCTTTGAAAGTCAGTGGGCGCCCTCCGATGTAACAGAGGAAAACCTGAAGGAGATGGTGGCGCACGACGTTCTTCCAGCGAAGGAGATCATTGGATGGCGTCCGGCGCACGACGAAGCATTCCCGACCCCCGACACACATGGCGTGTCGTGGTATTTTCTCATTTCTTCTATGGCGGATTTTCTCTTCCAACCTCAAGATTCTTCCGGGGGATTTTGGATTTCTACGGGATTAGTTTGCATCATCTAAACCCGAACTCCATAGTTCATATCGCCAACTTCATACATGCTTGCGAAGCTTTTTTGGGCGTCAGGCCACATTTTGCCCTGTTCCGCCGCATCTTCTTCCTCAAGCTCCAACCGAACAAAAGCAAGCCATGCGTAGTTGGGGGAGCTGGATTTCAACTGAGGGGAACTCTGAGCCAAAAGTATTTTTTCATGCCCTTCAAAACCTCAAACAAAGGCTGGCATGCAAATTGGTTCTATGTACAAAACCCCGAGCCTGCACTCCCCGAGTACTCCTGTCTTCCTCCGGTTTATCAGGACACTTGGAACTCACTTCCAATGGGAGAGGAAGCAGCCCAGGCACTTGTCCTGATGGATCGCATGCTGAAGCTGAAAGAGCAAGGTCTGCAAGGAGAACAGATCACCCGGCATTTTATCAAGAGCCGGCTAGCTCTAATTAAAGAGAGATCCCGTACAGCCTTTGAATTTGACGGCAAGCATGACCCAAACTGTGAAGATCCAGACTCTCTTGATTTTAAGGTCATGAAGGAGAGAATGTACAAAATCTTCTCAAACACTATCGTGGTCAGTTATTCGCACTTGCTGCCAGTGGTGCCATACAACGCCTTCAATCCTCCTCCACCGGTATGTATTCAAACATTTCAGCCTTCCTCAAAGTATGCTTTTATCTTCTGTTAAGCTAATTGAAAGTTCGAAATATCATGCCTAGGAATTTGCTTTGATAAAGTCGGATCCTCCAATTGCTCAACGCCGATCACCTCGCCGGCAGACTGGTCAGGCGAGTGGAGGACCAAAAATTTGGTCTGATACTCAACCAAACACCTCGAAATCAGCCAGCCAGTCAGACTCCCGCAAGAGGAAATTGGTTCTGAGTGATGATGAGGGCGATGATGCTAGAAAATCTGGCAATAAAGAGGTGACTGGAAAACAACCAAGGCAGACCAATCCGAAGAAGAAAACATCCAGTTGTCCCATGCCGAAAATCAGGAAATCTTCCAGGTACAAATCATTTGGCCATCTTCCTTGTATTGCTGCTCACCCACTGTTGAAATAGCACTAATGGCATAACTCAAATTCGTAGGAAGCCGACTGACAGATCCTTCTGGAAAAGACTCTGAGCCGACTGACATGGAGACGGGCCCTTCAAAAGAAACCGGGCCAACTGCAGAGGATCGTTCGAGTGACAAACAACCGGCTACCGACAATGTAGAACCCAGCAACGAGCCCCCGACTGGGAACCAGTCGGCCGAAGCTGGAGTTGGCGCTAATCAGGAGCCCCCGACTGGAAACCAGTCGGGTACAGAACCAAATGAAGATATTCCTGAAGTAGAAGCTCAAGCTGACGGCCCTCCTAAAAAGGATGTCAGCGCCGATCCAGGGTCCAGCTCTCCTGTTAAAATACAAGGGCCTGCTCGTCCCCGACCAGAAATCATTACAGGTAAACACATCCTCCGAACCCGTTTTGATCTGACAGATTTTCTTCAATTGTTTCACCTTTATTCATGAATGCCTAAGGCCCAATGATCGGCGACGAAGAAGAGGTCCTCCGGATACAGTCAGCTGAGGATTCTCACCCACCCATTTTAGTCAAGTGGTGGGATGACGACATGCAACCTCAGGGAATTGTGATAAACAAGCAAAAGGAAGATGAGGAAGTATGCCTGCTGAAAAAGGCACTCAGCCAAGCTACTCGCATTGTAAACGTAAGTCTCCTTATACACGGCTTCAACCATCCTGTTTGCCACTTTGCTCAAATGCCGATAAATTCGCATTGCAGAGAATCCATCTCAGGAACGAGGCGAAGACTGCGACTCTTGAGAGGTTAGTTCCCCATCTTGGAACCCTTGAGGCCACCAGAAACCAGCTGCATGAAGCTAAGGAGCTTGCCAGGAAAACTGAGCATGATCTGAGGGATCGGATCGCCGAGCTTCAAGACTCCAACTTCGAACTGAGCGGTTCGTCAAAAGGTAAATACAATCTCTGTCCAACTTACTTATGCTGCCATTCCTGTAATATCAATTAACAAGAAGCAATACAGTGCAAGCTGCCAAGATATCTGAACTAGAAAAGCGGGTCCAAGCTCTGGAGAACGACAAGGCCGAATTGGCGAGACAGAGGGACTCGGCTCTGAAAGATGTTGAAGGTACTGGTGACTAATACTTCAAAAACCATTCCTTTCTTTACGCCCACTCGTTGATATAAATCTATTTATGCAGATCGCAAAATCAAGTCTCAGGCTTAATTCGATGTCTTGGTCAACAAAATTAAGAGGCTTGAAGGGGCTAGGGATGAAGTCGCCAACGCTGCTACCCCACTCGTCCAAGCCATGTTCTTCAATAACAATGGTCCGAGTACATTTGATGCTTCTGAAATCTTCGACAAGCTGAGAGTTGCTCCGGATACATACTTTAAGAATATCAAGGAAGTTGGAAGTATGGGAGCAAGCCTGGCGTTGGCAATGACCAAGTCTTTATACCCGAAGATTGACATTGACGCCATTGATGGCTTTGCAGACGGGATGAGCGAAGAGACCGCCCTTGACCTCATCAACGATGCGCAGAAAGCCGCCGATAAGATAGCCGTTGATGTAGTTGAGAGATTCCAGGACAACGACCTTTGGCCGACTGGATCTGATAATTGCGATGATGAAAAAACTGATACTGATTGATGTTATATTATAACAGTGATTCTGATGATGATGATGATGATGATGATGATGGAGGCACAATTTGTACATTACTGATGAATTTATGCTGTGCTTGATATTTCAAACTTAGCTCCTGATTTCTTAAAAGCTTTTGTCAAACCTTATTGAGCCTAAAACCCGCAAAAGTTATTAAAAAACTTTCAGTCCTCATTGACTAAGCCAAAAAATCAAGCAAAGCAATGATAGATCAAGTAAGCAAATTGAATTGATAAAAATCACACTCCATTATTATTATAGTAGCTCCCGACTGATAACTTCAAGGAAAAACTTGATGTTAGCAGTCAAAGAGGGAAATACAAAAGTAATGCCTAAGCATAAAAACGACGAAGATGTTCAATGTTCCAAGAGTTGTCGATATGAGTACCGTCTTCACGTTTAAGTCGGTAAGAACCTGGCCGAGTGACTTCGGAAATTATGAATGGTCCTTCCCACAAGGGAGATAACTTGTGACGATCTCGTGTAGTCTGAATTTTTCTCAAAACCAGGTCGCCGACTAAAAAAGCTCGTGATCGAACATTGCGATTGTGATAACAGCACATCCCTT